TGTTCACCTCACAGCAAGGTGCCGTCCCATCCACCAGGCTCTCCTGGTAGCCCCAGGTGTGACCTGAACCCACAGGGGCCCAACCCCGCCAGCCTAGACGTTGTAGAACATTTTATGTGCTTTTTATTCCAGTCTCCGTTGGAAGCCTTTGGCAGGGCACAGGAACTTGAACACAGTTTCAAATGTTTTATATCAGGTTTTAAAGTTTAAGGTCTTTCATGTGTATTGCTTCCTGTGATCTCGGGGCTCAGTGAGGAAGGCAGAGCAGAGGCTCAGTTCAGATGCTGAGCGCAGCCCTTCCGGCTGGGGCTGGGCTCCTGTCTGCTCTCCCTGCCACCACGCAGACCCGTCTGTCATGGGCAGCCAGGTCTCCCTGAGCACAGCCACTCACGGTTCACGGGGAGCACTCTCCACGTGGATCCAGGCGGCACTGGTCCCTGTCGACTCAAAGGTTAAAATGTGCAGCTCTTAGGATTGAGTATTTTGAAGTTTAGGATTTTTATGGCTTTTAATTGTGAGTCTTACACAGTCTTACACTTTGAATATGATTTAATCAGTGATGATCCAAAAACACTTATTGTTCATCCCAAATCCCCCTCGTTTCCCCAAAGAACTATGGAAACCACGGGAAGGCCGGGCTCTGGTGCCAGGGTCAGGGTGTGGTACGTATGAGATGTGGGGCTCGCTCCTCCCAAGATGGTGTGAGGAGAGCCACGGTCTGAGACCCCCTGGCCATGCCTCCCTTTCCCGTGGCCCCAGCCAGGTGACAGTTTCTCTCCTCTGTTCCTAGACGAGTGTGGTCAACTACATTGACCAAAGGCCGGCCGCCGAAAAAAGCGCCCAGCTGTTTTTTGTGGTCTTTGAATGGAAAGATCCTTTCATCCAGAAAGTGCAAGATGTGAGTATTGTTTAAGATGAAGAGGCTCTTCATCCCCTTTCCTCGCCCAGATCAGTTGTGCTGGTGGCATTCGTGGTCTGTGTCATTTGTTTAATTGGTCTTGTCTTCGTCACTGGACTGTGGCCTCAGGAAGGTGGGGACTTTGTCTTTTGTTCATCATTTATTTGGTGTCTAGCACAGTGCCTGGCACAGAGGAGCTGCTCAGTGGTGATATTAATTGAATGACCCGAGCAGAAAGCATTGAGCTGCTGCTTGGAAGCCATTCTTTTTAAATGGTTGTCTGTAGGATGAGAACTTTTTTGTGATAAGAGAGAACAGGAAGGTACAAATAAAAAATTAACAGAGTATCAGTTAATGCCAGATTCTCAGACTGAAGGGGCACTAATGAGTCAGCTTTGCCAAAGGAGCATTCGTAAGACGCCATCCACCAGAGCCAGTCCCAGAAACACTGATTGGCGTTCAGCTCATCACACAATGTCCTGGCGTGGCCTTGCTCGGAGAAGGCATTTCAGAGCCAGGACTGACACAGGGAAGGTCTCTGTGACACGGGCGTGCACCACGGCCACCCACCCGCACCATTATCCGTGCATTGGCCCGGCTTGTGCGAGGCTTTGGGAATCAGGACTGGGAATCAGGACTCTGAGTAGAGTAAATGCCTTCAGCTCTGCACATAAATCGTGTGAGCAGACATTTTTATCCTATATTCAGTGGGCGGTGCTTGTAATGGGCCGGTGCTCAAGGCCTGCCTCGCGCTGTCACTCAGCTTCACAACGGTCCCCAACAGTGGAGGCGATGCAGCCGCCCAGGGTTCAGGTGGGCTGAGGTCGCCCTGCGAGACTGAACAGTGCTCTGTACCAGCATGGGGATCTCATAAATCCAAATAAGAGGTTGGCCGTGTAGAGTCCAACTTTCCGGAGGGAGCCACCTGTAGCTGTGAAGGGACCAATTCCAGACAGCCAGTGCCTCTCAAAGGAGACAGGGGTGGGGTGGGGGGGGGAGGTAAATATCTGCTACGTCGGAGGGTTTGGCTGAGTGAACGGAGAAAGGCTCGGAGGAGCTTGGAGGATTGGTAGCTCTAGGCAGGAGGAAAGCATACAGGCGGGGAAAGGGGCACAGCCTGGAGGCAGGGGTCCTGAGGGGAGTGTGGAAGGACGGCCACCGGACTGGGCGGGGGGAGAAGTGTGAGTCACTACGAGAGGGGAGGAAAACAAGAGGAGCTGCTCTTCTTATGGGTTTAGTTTTGGAGAAATTTGTCTTAAAGCAAGGTCACTGGTTGGGGGCCAAAAACATTAAAGCTCAGTACTGAGTATCTTACTTGTGCATGGCTATTTTAAAGCGTTTTTTTCTTTCGGAATCACTATGTTGTAGGGAGGGCTTAGTGTTTTTCCCCTCACACTGAACTGTGGACATAAAAGTATGACGGAGTGTGTGGAGTTACAGTTTTAGAACTCAGGTGGTTTTCTCGTCACCCCATTGATACTGGTATCACCTAAGACTCAAAACTGAAGCAAACTAATAAACTTGAGTTGGTTCTGTCTTACAGATAATCACAGCCAATCCTTGGAACACAATTGCCCTTCTCTGTGGGGCCTTCTTGGCATTATTTAAAGCAGCAGAGTTTGCCAAACTGAGTGTGAAGTGGATGATCAAAATTAGGAAGAGATACCTTAAAAAAAGAGGTCAGGCCACGAACCACATAAGCTGAAGTCACCTTGTGCATGGAACTGCCCACATTAATGGAGGTTCTCACCACTTCCACTTTGATAAACTGAGCTACCAGCCTCCTGAACTCACCTGGAGAGATGGCCCTGCTGGGAGGAGCTGCTGGGGAACAGATCCAGTGGATAACTTACAAGTTATTTAAGCACTTAAATTATTCAGGAAGTTTTGCCTAGGACATATGAATAGGGTTTGTGGAAGATGGAACTAGGGCTGGTTTCTGAAGGTTTGTCGACTCTGCCTTTCTTTCTGGTTTGGTATATAGCTCAGCTACAACAGGCTGTTAAGGCTCTGTGTTTACCTTGGGCTTTTCCCCCGAGGTTTTTAAGTGGATGGACAAGGGTGTGGCTATCGAGATGTGTAGGTCACGCTTTGAAACCTGAGCACTTTACACAAGGAAAGACAAACACCCTTATGTCTCTGGCATCTCTGCTGTTCCCATCGTCCGGTCTCTGACAAGTTTTCTCCTTTGTGAAATGTTAAATGAGACCTTTAAAGCTAATACTATAATTAGATTTCCTGTGGACTCACTAGCCATCTCTCTGGTTAGAGTTTTTGTTGATGCAGGTATAAGAGTTGAGTGATTAACACGCAAAAGCACTAGTGTGAATGTACAGAGTTTGCCTATTCAATGTATTTTGATGATTTCATTAACAGGTAAATAAAAGTAAGGTTAATACAAAAGGAATCAGTGTGCCAGTATGAATGTGTTAAATCAGTAGGCACCAGTTCACTTTCCTTCTGTGGCCTCCAAATAGAAGGTGGTGTGAGCCTGGACTCCCGAGATGGATGGACCTGGTCCCCGAGGTATGGCCTGACTGCACCCAGGGAGGAGTAGGGTGGGCAGGACAGTTGATGGGAAGAATGATGGCTCAAGCACCATGCATCAGCTGTTAACTCTACAAAACCACCCGAGTATTTTTCACATGGTAGCCATTGGCTGATTTAAGGTTATGAAATTGTTTCCAGAGTTTTAAATTATTTACATGCCCTTTGCAGCCAAAGAGGACTTGGTAGCATTTCCTGAATTTCATAATCTGCCTTTAGGTAACTCAAATGTGTGACTGGGTATTTTTTTAAAATCTCATGTCTAACTTAGCAGCATGAAGCTGGTTTTTGGCTGGATTATTAAAAGTGAACTTGTGTACAGAAATATTCCCTGCTGCTTTTCTATGCCATAGAGCAGCGGTCGCCAACCTTTCGGACCTCACGGACACCGGTTGGCGACTGCTGCCATGGGCATGCAAATTCAAACTTTAGCCTAGGTCTCCTCTCTAAAAATCTTGCTGTAAGGCAAATGCAAAGCCAGGCATAAAACCATACATTAACAGTATTGAAAACCAGATGTGTATTCGTAAAGTATCTCTGAAAATGACACACCACTTTAATATTAGTTAATATTTATAAAATGGCTAATAAAATTTGCTCCAATGAACAGCCTAAAACTGAATTTTCTATATTGTGGAAAGTTGAGACCTCTGAATTGTGCTTTAGAATCAGTAGATAACTAGGAAGTGAGCAGTTCTAACTCATCAGAGAAAAGCAGCTAACAACTATTAGCTGCAGCCTGCCGAAGTCCACTCTGGCTGCTCTTCAGTAAGAGAGGTGTGCGCCTAAACCGTCCACAAATGGACAGTGAGCCCCAACGTTCACTGTCGGGAAAGGCTTGCCTTTCACTCTTGTTCTGCAGTCGGATCACTCTTCTGCCTGCGCCGCCCCAGCTGTCCGCAGTGCCGGCTGGCCGTGGGTCAGTGCGGAGGATCCGGCAAGAGCACCATGGTCTGGATGTCTCAGGTAAGGTGGCTGCTTGAGAACACCATGAAATATGAGCCGCAGACTAAGAAGGAAGCATTCTCGGGAGCCACAGAGCGACAGGGGTTGCTTTTACAAGGACCTGAGGACTGTGCAGAACCTGTGCTAAAGCTTTCCGTGGGTATGAAAGGGTGGAATCAGACACCAGTCGTTGAAAACTTTGAGAACGCCTGACCTCTGATTCTGCTACAATCTCCCTGCCCCTCACAAAAACTGTTATTTATTACAGATTTTCAGATTTATCCTCCTGGGTCTATTTAATTAAAACATTTAAGGTGAGTAAAATCCATCCTCTGAACATAAAAGGACATGAAGGATATCCTAGAACTTAGGGTTTTATGCAAATATTCTATAAAACAGATATACGTTAATAAATGGCTGGAACACTCAATCTGGCACAATCTTCCTATTTTTTTAGACTATATCCTGCAACTTGCCTTAAACTTTACACACACACACACACACACACACACACACACACACACACATATGAATGATGTATGTATATATATGAAGGGGGCAGCTTCTTCTGAATGCCTAAACTTAAGAGTTAAAAAATGCAGTGATGAGATAAGGCAAAATACAAACATAGACTTTATTAAATGCTGCTCAATCCCCCAATGAAGATCTTTCATTACAAAACAGTTTTCCACACAACTGCAAGTTAAGAGATTGGAATGGTACTCTGATAACAAAATTCATGAGAAATACTTGACCAAGTAAAAACATACAAGACCCCTATAGTCAACCTTCTTAGAACGCTACAGAAGCCAACTGCAGTTCTTTAAGTAAAGCCAGGCAGTGGCAAGGAGCACTTGGTGTCTCCACACTGTGGGACACGACGCCCCCATCAGGAGGGACTGGAGGAGGGCAGGTGCTGAGGGCTGGAAGGGCCCTGCCTTCAGCCATGGGGAAGGGGAGGAAGAGGAATGAACTGAGAGGCAGGCTGCGTGTTCACCTGCGCTGCCCCCACTAATCTGTGCTCATCATTTGGGAGTTGCAGATAAGGGAGATACTCATGAGGAGCAATCTGAAGAATTTGGTTTACTTTCCTAGCTTTTATTTATAAGTTGTGCTTTAAAAAGCCTGGAGATTTAAGTTTTTTGCTCAAATTCCAGAGTACAGTAATATTTCTAATGAAGGGAGGCTTTTGGCAGGTAATTCCTCCCATCATATTTCTGAGAGGGACAAAGGGAAAGGTAAGGATTATACCTTAGTTTTATTTAGGAAATACTTTTTTCCTAGGATGTAACTAAGGTCTGCAGCAATGTGAAAAGCACATTATAAAAGGGAAAAATATACAGAGCAGACTACTATATCTATGTGCAACACAATCAAAATAGAATTCAAGTCATAATTCTTACCACCCCCCATAATTATCTCACTCATATTATAGATGATAAAGTTCATTTCTGTGAAACTTCAGATGTGACACAATAAATCAATGATTAGACAAACGTTACAATATACTGCGGCCATGAGATAGCACAGGGCTATGTTTAGTCCATATATTTTTTCATTTACAGTTGCCAGAAAAAAATTGACCTTTTAATTATACTGTTGAGGTTTCATGATTTTTACATTTTTTAAAAAGTGTACAAAACTGTGCCTATCCCACAGAGGTGGCATGTTTCTCTTTATTCATCACTTGTATTGCTGAGAATACTGTGCATGTTGTAAGCACTGTTCTGGTTTTCTAGAGCTTTCTTTAGTTTTAGCTCCTCTAATTTTTTCCATAATTCTTCACGTTCCAATTCCTTCTTTTTCTCTCTGTAGATAAAGCAAAATTTTATTTCAGAACCTGAAGAACACAGTTTGGCAATTTGCTAGAAAACAGTTCATCCACATTGCACTTCAATCCCTCTACTAAGGTGTCTGAGGACAATCGTCTGGAGCACCTCATTACTCCTGCCACTCTTTTACATCTGCTGCTCCTGTGCCAACAAAAGTTACTACCTGCTCTGCCTCTTCTACATATTCTCTCTACCACCACCGTGCCCACTATATCATTGGTGCTTTACAGTTTAAAAAATACTTTAAATTGAAAAAAATTTTTTTAACTATCAATTACAGTTGACATACAAAAGTGTATTAGTTTTAGGTGTACAACATAGTGATTGGACATTTACAAAACTTACAAAGTGATCACCCTGGTAAGTCTAGTACCCGTCTGACAACATACATAGTTGTTATATCATTGACTGTATTCCCTATGCTGTACTTCACATCCCTGTGACTGTGTTTGTAACTGGCAATTCGTACTGAATCCCTTTACCTTTTTCACCCATTCCCCCAACCACCCTCACATCTGGCAGCCATCAGTTTGCTCTCTGCATTTTATGAAACTATTTGTTCATTTAGTTTGTTTTTTAGATTTCATAAATTTAGGAAAACCAGATGTATTTGTCTTTATCTGACACAATTCACTTAGCATAATACCCTCTAGGTCCATCCAGGTGGTTGCAAATGGTAAGATTTCATTCTTTTTTTGTGGCTGAGTAATATTCCATGGTATAAAACAATCTTTTTCCATTTGCCTTATTAATGAATGCTTAGGTTATTTCCATAACTTTGCTATTGTAAATAATGTTGCAATGAACATGGGAGAGCATACATCTTTTCGAAATAGCATTTTGGATTTCTCTGGATATGTGAAAGTAGAGTTGATGGGTCATATATTTATTTTTAATTGAGAAATCTCCATACTCTTTCCTTAGTGGCTGCACCAATTTACAGAGCACTGGGTTCTTCCTCCCCTCCAGTGGGGACTCTAGACTCGGGCACATGAAGCCATGTCACCAGCCACCACGAATCATCCATGTTTGTGTAGAATTTCCGTTTTCAAGGGGATTTCTCAACATCATATCCTCTCCAATGCTTGGTTGTCAATTTATTGATGATAACCCCTCTGATAGGTGTGAGGTGATATCTCCTTGTGGTTTTAATTTGCATTTCCCTGATGTTGAGCATCTTTTCCTTTGTTGGCCATCTGTATGTGTTCTTGGGAAAATTTCTATTCAAGTCCTCCATCCTTTGTGTGTGTGTATTAAATTGTATGAATTCCTTATGTCGTTTAGATTTTAACCCCTTGGCAAGTATCTTCTATTCAGTAAGTGGTTTTTTTTAAATTTTGATGTACGTACTTTGTTTCTCTTGTTAGAGGACATATCCAAAAAAAAAATTACTAAGACAATGTCAAAGGGCTTATTTCCTATGTTTTCTTCTAGGACAGTGGTTCTCAACCTGTGGGTCGCGACCCCTTTAGGGGTCGAACAACCCTTTCACAGGGGTCGCCTAAGACCATCGGAAAACACATAATTACATTTTGTTTTTGTGATTAATCACTATGCTTTAATTATGTTCAATTTGTAACAATGCAAATACATCCTGCATATCAGATATTTACATTACGATTCATAACAGTAGCAAAATTACAGTTATGAAGTAGCAACGGAAATTTTATGGTTGGGGGTCACCACAACATGAACTGTATTAAAGGGTTGCGGCATTAGGAAGGTTGAGAACCACTGTTCTAGGATTTTTATGGTTGTGGGTCTTAAAATCCATTTTGAGTTTATTCTTCTATATGATGTAAGAAAGTGACACAGTTTTATTCTTTTGTATGTGTCTGTCCAGTTTTACCAGTATCATTTTTTTTTAAAGAATGTGGCATTACTCCATTGCACATTCTTGCTTCTTTTATTATAGATTAAGTGGCCATATAGGTGTGGTTTATAATTCTGGGCTCTTTAACCTGTTCCATTGATCTATGTTTTCATGCCAGTACCATCCTGTTTTAATTACTATAGTTTTGTTGTATAGTTTATTAGGTAGCATGACACCTCCAACTTTATTCTTTGGCTCTTTGTAGTTGTATATAAACTTTAGGATTATTTGTTCTACTTTTATGAAAAATGCCATTGGTATTTCGATAGAAACTGCTCCTCTATGAGCATAGTACATACTTCCATTTATTTGTATCTTTTCCAATTTCTTCAGTGTCTTAGTTTTCTGAGTATAGGTCTTATACTTCTTTGGTGAAATTTATTCCTAGGTATTTTATCCTTTTTGATGCATTTGTAAGTGGAATTGTTTTCTTATGCAACTGATTTCTCAGCATTAATTTTGTATCTTGCTACTTTAGTTCTAATAGTTTTTTGGTGGATTCTTTAGGGTGCTCTCTATATAGTATGTCATCTGCAAATAATGACAGTTTTACTTCTTCCTTTGCAATCTGGATACCTCTTATTTGCTTGTCTTATTGCTGTGTCTAGGACTTCCAATATTCAATAAAAGTGGGGAAAGTAGACATCTTTATCTTGTTCCTGATCTTAAAGAAAAAGCATTTAGCTTTGCACCACTGAGTATGATATTAGCTGTCTGTTTGCCAAATATGGCCTTTCTTATGTTGAGGTATGTTCCATCTATCCTCACTTTGCTGAGAGTTTTTATCAAATGCTTTTCCTGCATCTATTGATATGATCATGATTTTTATCCTTCATCTTATGTGGCATATCACTTGATTGATTTATAGGTGTAGAACCATCCCTGCATCCTAGGATGAATCCTACTTGATCATGGTGTCTGATCTTTACAATGTATCAGGGAATTCAGTTTTCTAATATATTTAATTAAAATTTTTTTTTTATTTCAGAGAGTAAGGGACAGAGAAAGAGAAACATCACAGATGAGAGCGAGGAATTGAGCCCTCAACCCGGCCATGTGCCCTTGGCCAGAATCGAACCTGGGACCCGTTCGTCCCCAGGCTGACGCTCTACTCACTGAGCCAAGCCAGCTAGGGCTCAGTTTTCTAATATTTTTGTTAAGGATTTTTTACATCTAGGTTTATCAGGGCTATTGGCCTGTACTTTTGTTGTAGTGTCTTTGTCTGGTTTGGAAATCAGAATAATGCTGGCTTTATAAAACAAGCTTTGGAGCCTTCTCTCACCTTCAACTTTTTGTAATAGTTTGAGAAGGATAGGTGGTAATTCTATGAATGTTTGGTAAAATTCACCTGTGAAGCCATCTGATCCAGAACGTGTTTGTTCGGAGTTGTTTTTTGTTTTGTTTTTTGGCTTTGATTTTTCATTGGTTGTAATCAGTCTGTTCAGATTTTGTTTCTTCAGAATTCAGTCTTGGAAAATTATATGTTTCTACGAATTTATCCATTTCTTCCAGATTGTCTCTAATTTGCTGGCATATAGTTCATAGTATTTTTTTAAAGGATTTTTAAAATTGATTTTTAGAAACATTGATTGGCTGTCTCCTGCAGGCCCCTTACCAAGGAGAGATCCCACACCTGTGCATGTGCCCTGAATGGGAATTGAACTGACCATCTTTCAGTGCATGGGATGATGCCCAACCAACTTAGTCACACCAGCCAGGGCCATAGAATTTTCTTTTAATCCTTTATATTTCTATGGTATCAGTTGTCACTTCATTCATTTCTGATTTTATTTGGGTCTTCTTTTTTTTCCTTAATGAGTTCAGTTAAAGGTTTATCAATTTATATTTTCAAAGAACCAGCTCTTGGTTTCATTGATCTATTGTTTTTTTAAACTAGTTCATTTATTTCTGCGCAGGTCTTTATTATTTCCTTCTTCCTACTCACTTTGGAATTTTGTTCTTCTTTTTCTGATTCCTTTAAGTGTAAGGTCAGATAGCTTATTTGAGGTTTTTCTTTTCATGAGGTAGACCTGTATTGCTATGAATTTCCTTACAACTGCTATATCCCATAGGTTTGGGGTCACTGTGTTTTCATTTGTCTCAGGGCATCCTTGAATTTTATTTAGCCTCTATGTATTTGAGTGTGTTTTCCAGTTTCCTTCTTGTAATTGATTTCTAACTTCATACCACTGTAGTCC